ATAAAAGAAGAAGAAAAGAAATTTTCATCAAGGAATGTAAGCCCATTTAAATTATCAGGACCAGAGAGGCATTGGAAAGAAACAACAATCACATAACTCCCCCTTGAGCTAAATAATTATCTCTTAAAGCCGCTTGCTCTATGGGCTCTACACTAACTGACGCCAAGTTGCAATAAAATGCCACATGCCAGACACCATAATCTATACCCGATAGTTCAACAATGTATAGCCAATCCCTAATCAATGTTATCTCTGTAAACCAATGAGAATTTCTGTCAACCAACTTTGTATCCACCCTCTCCTTTTCCCTTTGCCTTTAAAAACTTGCTTATAAGAAAGGCTGAAGGAACATTGTCCAAGGCAACTTGGAAGTGTGTCCTGGATGGCTGTCCTCACTTTGGCTCAAGTAAACTCCTTAAATTACATTTTGGGTCTCAGTCTCTTCCTTTTAGGTTGATACACTGATTACCACTCTGTTGAATACTTGAGGGGGACCCTCTGCAGATCTATGGTATTCTCTCTGTGTGCAGCTTTCTCCTTGCCATTTCTTTGGCTTGTTGACTTTAGCCACCTTTATCAGTCCAGACTCTCAGCTTCACGTCCTCAACTCAGGGACTCCACTGGGCTCTGCCTCAGTTCCCCGTCCCTGCACCAAAGTCTGGAGACCCTCTCAATGCAGCAAGTCAGCCAGTCACAGGGCTCATCTTTTTTCTTCCCCGTTTCTCAGGGATGACTGTCTTTTGTTGCCTGATGTCCAATGTTTTGAGAAACATTGTTTCATTATACTTCTTTGTTTTGTTTTGTTTTGTTTTGTTTTGTTTGAAGTGAGAGGATAAATGCAATCTCTGCTACTCCATTTTGGCTATAAATCTGGTATGTTATTAATAATATTCTAGTTATTAGTTTAGGTGGTAAGTTCATAAATGTTCATACCCTTATTGTGTATTATTAACCATGCACACATGTATATTACACATTCTTTCATTTGTATAAAATATTACACAACTTGTTTATGTTGTAAAAGGAAATAAAGATTTTTTTCTTGCCTTGTGGTGGAACAAGGGCAAAAGAAGTAGGAAGAGTCTGTGGCCAATGTCTTACCTCAACTACCTTCCTGACCCCGCTACCCCTTCTACCTAGAATCCTCCATTTCAAACCAATTCCCTCTGTCCTTGTCACCATGACTCTAAAGGTGTTTTTCTGACAAACCAAGAAGGTCAAGGGGATATGGTGCTGGCTTGGGGAATGGGGAGATCAACAGCTTTCATTCTCCATGACCTAACAAACCACTGTGGTTTCTCCCTTTACTGCACTATGTGAGGGCCTTTCAGAATAGTGCTGTGGTGTCTGCATCTGACTCGCACTATCAGACACTTAAAAGTTGGGGGAGGGGTTCATATGAAGAGTTTGTCTCAGATAGCTATTTTTAGAAACACA